ATATTTTTGGCCGAGTTGGGACAAGCTTTGGTGTAAGCTTGTTGCAAACCAGAGCTTCCCTCAAGAAGGCTCGTGGTTCCGAGAGGGAACGTGTCACCGCCGTGTGCAAAACGACATACGTACACTGCCTTCTCCCGCCTTATTTTTTTACACAGCCAGATTAGACCAAATAGAATTACCGTGTTAAATTTTGAAATTATTTTGGATTTGTTTGGCCTTTTTAATATATTAATTGAGTTTCTGGGCATTTAATGTGCATAATTCAAATTTGAACTATAAGCACAGGCTCCAGTGCACCAAAGTTGTTTGAAAAATCGCATGTGTGTCCTTGGGTGAATTTTTAGGTCCCATGCAAGAGATAAGAGTGAAATTCAAACATCTGAGCGTCGTGGCTCAGCCGGAAAGATTGAGAAACTTGATTTTTTAATTCCTGTAATTTCAAAACATGTCTGAAAATCATGAAACTTGGCATTGTGTCATGACCTGACACCAACATGTTGCGGTAATTTTTTTGGCCGAATTGGGACTAGCTTTGGTGTAAGCTTCTTGCAAACCGGAGCTTCCCTCAAGAAGGCTCGTGGTTCTGAGAGGGAATGTGTCACCTCCATGTGCGAAACGACATACGTACACTGCCCTCTTCCGCCTTAATTTTTTTACACAGCCAAATTAGACCAAATAGAAGTACCATGCTAAATTTTGGAATTATTCCGGGTTCGTTTGACCTTTTTTATATATTAATTGAGTTTCTGGGTATTTAATGTGCATAATTCAAATTTGAACTACAAGCACATGCTCCAGTGTACCAAAGTTGTTTGAAAAATCACATGTGTGTCCTTGGGTGAATTTCTAGGTCCCATGTAAGTGATGAGAGTGAAATTCAAACATCTGGGCGTCGTGGCTCGGCCGGAAAGATTGAGAAACTTGTTTTTTAATTCCTGTAATTCCAAAACACGCATGAAAATCATGAAACTTGGCATGGTCTCATGACATGACACCAACATGCTGTGGTAATTTTTCTATCCGATTTGCGAAGGCGTGCACATTAACAATCAACAAAGTCATTTTGGAACAAGTGCTATCACGTTACAAATCGGAGACACACATATTATTGAAACCATGGGCGTTCGACTTACCAATTACGTACGGCCACACGTCCCCTTTTTTATTGGTTAGGAGGTGCCGTGCGGGGTAGCTATTTGAGTACGGGAGGCGTGCGATCAGACCCCTGCGCGTGCTCATTGGGAGGAGAGCCCTTTTGACCGCTACCCGCCGCACACCTCCCTCCCAACGTCTTCATTAATGGCGCCCGAGCACCTGTTCTACGGTGTGGCTATATGTCTCACTGGACTGAGATTTAAGAAAGAAAAATGAAAATCCGAAAAGAAAGTTTTGCACGGATCTTGATGTAAGATCCGACGGACCTATATAGCATCGACTGTGACTTATAGCAAGCATGATAAATATAAGGATGATGACATTGGATAATAATTGTCTTACATATTTATAAACATAATTAAAAAAAGTCACATGCGGCAACGCCCGATATACACAAGGGCAGAAGAAGAAGGAAGATAACTAGTCTCCGCGGCAGGCGACGACGAGCTCTTTCTTGTCCTCAAGATGCTGGTTGAGAGTATCCACGGATTCCTCCACCCGCCTTCTGCGCTCGATGCACAACATGACATTCTCTTCCATAAGTTTCTCGACGATGACGCCGGTCCTCTTCAACAAGGCAGTGGTCTACTCCTGCTGCTCCGCACTTCCGACGATCTTCGCTCTCAGTAGGTCGCGCTCGGCCCGGAGCTTCGCATTGCTCTTATTTAGTTGTCGGATGACATCCGGTAGACTGTTCAAACGAGGCTTGAGGGTCATCCTGCAACCTCGCCCACCTGGAGATCTAATCCATTTGCCTAAGGATGAGGGCACGCATGCGCCTATAAGAGTCCTCGCCTGCCCGCGAGGCATTTTCCCAGGCCGCCGCGACGCGGGAGGACATCTCTGTTGCATCCGCCGCGCGGCGGGACATCTCTTCTGCTTACGCGGCACGGCCGGACCAGTCTACTGCATCGACGGTGCGGCGGTCCTCCGTGCTGCTTCGGCGGCGCGACGGGACCTCTCTGCTGCTACGGCCGTGCGACGGGACATGTTGGCTGCTTTCGCGGTGAGGCGGGACATCTCTCGTGCTCCCGTTTCCAGGCTCACCTCTCCCTGGTGGCAATCTCTCGACCTAGAACTCACGCTAGCCATGGCGGACACAAGGGAACGATGATGAATGACTTGTTTGTTTTTGACTTTTTGTGGATGAGGAGTTGAGGAGGAATACGCGGTCATCTTGGAGTAGTAGTATTTATAACCATGTAGTAATACACTCCTAAGTGGGAAATCGTTTAGGTTTTGATCGGTGTGAACAGGTTTGTAATTTGGAATATGACGGGACGCATGCTAAAAAATTACTGACGGTTATAAGTGCGACACTATTCCCAGAAGGCGTAACGTGGGCACGTATGCCTTCTCGGTCGCGTACGTGACGTTTGCACCATAGGATGCACCGCAATAGGCAATGTCAGCACACTGCAGTAGTGATGATTGCCTCTAGGGAATATGTCCAACAAGAACTACCGGATCCAATCTAGACACCATCTCGGATAGGGTTCACCACCTCCATTGGTGCCTCTCCGATGATGCGTGAGTAGTTCTTTGTAGACCTTCGGGTCCATAGTTAGTAGCTAGATGACTTCCTTTCTCTCTCTCTCTCTTTCTCTCTCTCTTGATTCTCAATACAATGGTTTCTTGAAGACCATATGATGTAACTCTTTTTGCGGTGTGTTTGTTTGGATCGATGAACTTTGAGTTTATGATCAGATCTATCTTTTTATATCCATGAAATTATTTTAGTTTTTTTATCTCTTTTATGCATGATCTCTTATAGCCTCGTATTTCTTCTCCGATATTTGGGTCTTGTTTGGCCAACTTGATCTATTTATCTTGCAATGGGAAGATGTGCTTTGTAGTGGGTTCGATTTTACGGTGCTTGATCCCAGTGACAGAAAGGGAACCGACACGTATGTATTGTTGCTACTAAGGATAAAACGATGAGGTCTATCTCTACATAGATAGATCTTGTCTACATCATGTCATCGTTCTTATTGCATTACTCTGTTTTTTCATGAACTTAATACACTAGATGCATGCTGGATAGCGGTCGATGTGTGGAGTAATAGTAGTAGATGCAGACAGGAGTCGGTCTACTAATCTTGGACATGATGCCTATATAATGATCATTGCCTGGATATCGTCATGAGTATTTGAAGTTCTATCAATTGCCCAACAGTAATTTGTTCACCCACCGTTTGCTATTTTTCTCGAGAGAACCCACTAGTGAAACCTACGGCCACCGGGTCTCTTTCTCATATATTTGCCTTTGCGATATATTTTTCTTTGCGTTTATTTTCAGATCTACTAAACCAAAAACCCAAAAATACCTTGCTGCAATTTATCCTTATTTATTTTATTTGGTGTTCGATCTATCAATCTACTACAAATTTACCTCATGTCCGTTTGCCTATTTTGAGGCACCGTACCCTGGAAGGGATTGACAACCCCTTTAACACGTTGGGTTGCGAGAAGTTGTTATTTGTGTGCAGGTGATGTTTACGTTGTGTTGCTTGGTTCTCCTACTGGTTCGATAACTTTGGTTTCATATCTGAGAGAAATACTTGCCGCCCTGTGCTGTATCATTCCTTCCTCTTTAGAGAAATACCGACGTAGCTTCAAGCGACATCAGAGGGGCGATGACATGGTGGGCCTTTGGCTCGCTTTAGTGCTTGTACTTGTCGCTAGGTGGTCTATGCACATGAATGAACAGATTAGAAGTGTTTTCAAAAAAAAGACCGAGGCAAAACACAGTGAGCAACTGCCTTTGTCATGAGGATGCTTGTAGTCCTCACTAGAGAAAGTGAGCTCAACGTGAGGCCATCGTGCCGAGGACGTCATGCAATTCTCTCAAAATAAAATAAACCAGGCTGCATGACTTGTGTGTGACTGAAGAAGGAGCAGAGAAGTATATTATCTGCACCATGTTCCTCTTTTGCAGTTTTTTAGGTGTGGCGATTATGAGCGAGCGCGACGATAGGGATTGAGCATCGTGTATAGAGGCGGAGGATATAAACATATAGCGAACACAACAGATCATCCAACATTGCAAGATTTGAATAATGAGGATTGCCGGATTAGAAAATTTAATCTAAATTTTCTTTTAGTGGTAGGCGCTCATCCAGTTAATAAAAAGTCAGAGTGTGATGATTTCATCAATTTTAATAAACGCCGACTCTTTTCATGAAGATGCTCTGAATAGGGTGCACGTGAATATGAATGATGCGTCTATGTGAGTATCTGTATTTTTCTTCAATGAAAAATTAATCCAACTTGATAGAGATTGACAAATAGGGAGTACAAGCAGGATTGGACGAGACTGGATTGCAGCCTGTAGGGTAGTGGGGATTTGAAAAGAGTTTGCTTGCTGCTCTTTGTGTCTATGGCGGTTCCAAAGATGAAGGTGAAGTAAACGGATAAGGGCATGTACAATGATGTTATCTTAGGAGTGCCACGTAGAATAAATGATGAGGTGGAGGAGAGAGAACTCATAAGAAAAGGCTTGTCTTCTCTTATTTAAGATAAGACAAGAGATGATCTCTTAGCACAATTTGTCTCACCATGTTTTAAGGAATTGCTAGTTATTGAAGATAAGGCTAAGATATAATCCATTGTACACATATTCTTTTGTCATCTCTAAATTACATGCAAGACTTAAGATAAGACTGTCTTATCAACCATTGTACATGCCCTAAGACATCTACCAAATTGTTTTTTACTAGTAATAGTAAAAAAGGAATCTAATAAATAGAAAAAAAAGATCCCCTTATCGTCCCCACCTTCTTCTCTTCCTCGAAAACTTGTTGTACTTCTCCATCGCTTCTTCCCCCGGGAAGAAAGGAACCGCCATGGCGGAGGAGTGCTGCAGCGCGGACCTGCTGGAGTGGATCGGCCCTGACGTCTCAGCATGCGTCTTCGGCCGCCTTGACCACCCCGCCGACCTCGTCCGCGCCGCCGCTGTCTCCAGAACCTGGCGCAGATGCGGTGAGCGATTCTCGCCCTCCTCTCCGATGGATGTCGATTCTAATATATACCATCGCCGCGCCCTGATTTCCCCTCCTCTACGCAGTGGTCGAGAGCGGCTTGAGCAAGAGCCTTTGCCTGCGGCTGTGCCCCGAGGTCGCCACCGTCGCCGCGGCGGCAGAGGTGGCCAGATCGCCGCCTTCAACCGCCGCCCATGAATCAGGCCACGAGAGGGACTACAGGATATACTCCAACCTCGCCGGCGCCTACGTCTCCGACTCCGCCGCCAAGCCCTCCGCGGAATGCATCTTGGACTGCATCGGGGCCTCCAGCACCGACGACTTCCCAGCAGAGACCATGGAAAACACCCTCGACGAGGAGGAGATTATCAATTTCCGCCCGTCCTATTGGTCGAGCGGCGGGGCGGACGACCCGGAGGCGCCGGAGAGCCTTACCTACAGGCTCAACTCTGACATCTGCATTGTCGATGAGATTCGGGTGCGGCCGTACCAAGGCGCGTTATTATTGATTGATTTAGCCTGTGTGGTATTGTAATGAGATTGCTCGACCTCTTTCATAGTGCACACCATTACTTGTTTGCTTGATTGATTAGGTTAAATATAGTCCCAAATTAGTTGAGGATCCCAAGGCACTGCAAATTTCTGTCTTGGTTAGATTTCCTGTCAGGTGATTGATCGATAGTATTCATATGCCCCCTTGCTTCGAATTGCCAGCCTTTTTTCAGGATGGTGACCCTATATACTCTTCAAAGGTGGTGCGATTTCGGATGGGCCATTACAAGCTTCCGCGAGGATCAGAGACGTTTGTAATGGATGATTATGAGAATAAGATGGTAAATGCTGATGAAAAATACATGTGGACTTACACTTCGCCAGAGTTCCCTATGTTACAGGTAAGTTGGTGCATCCTTTTATTGTTGACATATATCTACAGATCGATGGGAAAATTCTACCATGAGACTTTGCATAGTTACTTTTTTCAGTCAAAGAACTCTTATACTCCACTTTGCCAGAATTTCTCATGTTTAGGACAAACAATGAGTCAGTAGTTTGTGATTACGAGATCCACTAATATGATGTAATCTTTTTAGTTCTCCTAGCCATGCTCTAGCAAATTAGCATGTTGGTTGATATTGGATATAGCGATGACCTTATGATACCATCTATTTGTGGTGTGATAGAAAAACGAACTACAATCCTTCAAGCTCCCACGCCCCGTCCTTTGCATTGGTGGTGTGGTGATGATTGAACTCTTGGGCAGAGTACAGAAACAAGAAGCAGATGATAGGTACTACATATGGTAAGTTGAATATGGCATGATTAGCTTTTGCAAAAAATGGCATGATGATCCAAATTCAGAGGCTTGATGTAACTCCAGTCTCAGGCTGCTAGTGGAAATGCAAAGCTTAATACTCGTTCACTGCACCATGAAGAATGAATTTGTGCACGTCAGGAACTTATTTCTATTAAATAATGATTGTCTGCAACTTTGTCCTCACACTTCATCATGGTGCATATATGTTTTTGTGGTGCTTGTACTGTAGCATTTAGAAGATGCACTTGTCAGTTTCTTGCATAATATTATAAAGTGTTAATCTGAATCCTGTAGTAAAGTTTGCTCAATTTAGGTCCTCCTCCTCGCATACTCGCTCCTTTTAGGTTTACAAGGCCTGCATGCATTTTGAGATTTATTTTGACTGTCAATTAGACCAATAGTATATGAGTTGTGTGCCATAAAAATTATATCGTTAAATCTTTTTTGGAATGCAAATTCGATGATACATTTATTATGGCATATGACTAATATTTTGGTAGTGAAATTGCTGGTCAAAGTTGGCCTCAAAATGCGTATGAGCCTTGTAAACCCGAAATGATGTAAATTAGAAATGCTGAAACATCGGTATCTTTTCTCCCTTTTGCATGTAACAGCGTTTGCCATGCTGAAGTGATGGGGCGTTCACTCTCACCACTTTTCATGGTTGAAATCTCGGATCCTGAAGGTTATTCAATCCTCAAGTACTTACCGGGTGCCAAAGACCTATCCATCGATGACTTTTTGCAAGATGATACCAAAGACTCGCCGGAGTGGCACTATCTTGTTGGTAGATACAGGCAGATGAATCACAGAGCAGTAGTAGTGAGTGCACTTTTGGAGCCTGTACATTACATGCATGATGTAGGTGGCATCTCAGACGATGATCATGAAGATGATGTAGGTGGCATCTCAGACGATGATCATGAGGATGATGTAGGTGGCATCTCAGACGATGATTATCTTGAGTAGATTTGCGTGCTGGACTGCAGCTACAACTCTGCCGTGGTTTTACTCTTTGTAGTTTAGTGAACACCTCTGAACTCTGCAAGCCTTTGTTGCAAACATTTCTGAAGCCTCTGTTCTCGAACCTAGAGGACCTGATCGAGACAAGTTGCTCTTACGGTCTGCAACTCTGCTCAAGCTTGCTCGTGTTTTCTCTTGTGTTTTTGTTTAGTGGTGAGTATTTGTCATATATTACTCTTCAAATAAATGCCGTTTGCGGATGGATTACTGAATCTTATGGCACACTATGAATTCATGATATTGTAGACTTACTGTATATATATGCTGAATGCATTCTAATCGTCGTGGAGTTGCATCTCCAGCATTGAGCGTTTACCCTTTGAGCTTGCCTGGGACTCAGGCTTATGGAACCTTTGGGGATTACCGGGTGGAACCTTGATGTGTTGATGTGGCCGCAAGACCATGGCATCTGAGAAGCATGGGTCATTATGCCATCAATCACCATGTTGGTATCCTGGTAAGTCTTGAACGAGACTATAGATTGGATTTCCATATTTGTGCATGCTTGGATCGTAATCTGGCGTTGCATGTCCACAACCAGTCCCTTTAGATATATATTTAACATTTCAAAAACCTTAGTTTGCATGTGAATGTCAACATGGCAGAGGAAAATAACTCGCATGGCCACTATCTATCACACAAGGATATCCTTTTATCCGAGTATGAACCAGGGAAGTGCTCCATCACATTTATGCTTCATCATGGACGGCCCAAACTGAAGCTTTCTTCATACATGAGACGGATATTTCCTTCTATAACTTCTCCATATCATCTTTCCCCAAAAAATAAGGTTAGTTTCTTAGTGAAGAGTCACTGTCTCATATGCATACTACAGATAAATGTGGCGCCAGTTTGCCTTGAAAGTATCACCTTCATCTTTTCTGAATTAGTCCTGGCTCTGGCCGCCGAACATTTGCATTATCATGCTGTGAGGCGTAAACCTGGAAATGCTGGTGTTTGTTGTTCTTCAGGCATAGTTTAACCAGAGATATCATTAGCATTTCAGTGCCCAGTTCAGTCATGGTAGAATCTGCAAAGCCTTTAATTATATTACAGTTACCGGATTCCATTGTAGTATATCTTGCCATTTCTTCTATTTGCAATCTGTATTGCGTCCCACAATGGCAGATCTTGCCAATTCCACAGTTTACCTATCTGCGCGCTGCTGATGCCGTACTGCACCTGCTGTTCGCTCTCTGCTGCTGGCAATTCTGGAAGGCGTGCGGATCATGGTGAATGGAGAGGGTTTTAATTTTGTAGGAACGCTTCCTTCTGTTGCACAGGGCACCTAAATGATACTCCCTCCGTCCCATATATAATATAAGAGCGCTTTTGACACTAATGAGTGTCAAAAGCGCTCATATATTATGGGACGGAGAGTGTAGGAATAATGCAACGACGACAGTTTATCGTGCTTGCCTTCTTGAACAATGCTGACAAGCTCGGTTACTGTATCTAACTTAATTTTGGAGCAGTGTTTAAGGAGGCACACGCTGCAGCCTGCTTGCAAAACATCTACCGAATTTATACTGTGCTAGTTGAGTGATGAAGAGTGACTCTTTTATGCACTGTAGAACACAAAAGGTGTTTCCTGTTGGGTTGGAACACACTGCTATATAGGCTGCGGTGTGGCCCTTGCCCAACATGAATTGGCCGCCCAACATGAATTTACGATTTGCGTGTTGAGATATTACGTACGTCCGGTGGCAGATAAAGCCACCACTCTAAAGAGTCTAGAGTGCTGTGACATTCCTATTGCCAATTTCGCCAACTCTCCACACAACAATTTCTCATCCCTAATCATCCGCGCTCACGAAGCCCATTTCACCAGAGAACAAATTAAGCCAACATCGAAGGTTCGTTCCATGTGACGGAGAACTCACAGCCAGGCTTTAGAGCATCTACAGCCGGACTTGTCAAATCCGGCCTCTCAAACACTCTGTGGAGGCGTCCGGACGCATCCGCGGGTACTGATCGGGCACCTCTCAAATGTTGCGCTGCACATCCACATACCGCAAATTCTGATTCTCAAATCCATTGATTCTCAAATCCATACAATTCATGCACGTCGATCATACGATACAAATTGTCCAAATGCTAGAGTTTGAAACAAAGCAAAGCAAATCATAGTTCAACAAACCGGATATGGCAAAATGAAATCAATGTCCGAGCGTGAGGATGGCTTCGGATCACTGGCTCGGCGCCTGCTCCGAGCAGAAGGCGTCCTGCTTCAGGCGGGATGCGTCCTGCTCTGCCTGCACCCGGACTGCCTGCTCCGCCTGCATCCGGGCCGCCTCCTCCGACTGCATCCGAGCCGCGGCTACCCTTGCCGCGGAGGAGACAGCTGCTCCACCACGTCTGAACCTTCCTGTGTCGTCGCCTCCCTCTCTCGCTGTCGGCGTCGCCGCAACTTGCGGGCGACGTTCTCCGCCTGGCAAGTCGCCGCCGCCGACACCATGTCTCCCACAGACGAGGCGGACTGCGTCTTCGTCGCGACGGTGTGGGTCGGTGTCAGTGTCAAAACCGGCGGATCTCAGGTAGGGGGTCCCGAAATGTGCGTTTAAGGCGGATGGTAACAGGAGGCAGGAAACACGATGTTTTACCCAGGTTCGGGCCCTCTTGATGGAGGTAAAACCCTACGTCCTGCTTGATTTATTCTTGATGATATGAGTATTACAAGAGTTGATCTACCACAAGATCGGAGAGGCTAAACCCTAGAAGCTAGCCTATGGTATGATTGTATTTTGTCCTATGGACTAAAACCATCCGGTTTATATAGGCACCTGAGGGGGCTAGGGTTACACAAGGTTGGTTACAAAAAAGGAGATATCCATATCCGTACTGCCTAGCTTGCCTTCCACGCCAAGTAGAGTCCCATTCGGACATGAGGCGAAGTCTTTAATCTTGTATCTTCATAGTCCAACAGTCCGGCCAAAGGATAGAGTCCGGCTGTCCGGAGACCCCCTAATTCCAGACTCCCTCAATAGCCCCTGAACCAGGCTTCAATGATGACGAGTCCGACGCGCAGTATTGTCTTCGGCATTGCAAGGCGGGTTCCTCCTTCGAATACACCCCGGATGAATTTGAATACAAGGATAGTGTCCGACCCTGCAAAATAAGTTCCACATACCACCGTAGAGAGAATAATATTTCCACAAATCTGATCTGCTGACATGTTTCGGCAACATGACGTTATGTCATGGCCCGGTGATTATTCGAACCGTTTCCTTTAACTAGCTTCGCACATAACGCGAGGCAGTTTCCTGACACGTCTTGTCAAAGCAGGGATTGTGTCCCCCTTATTACGGGATTCTCATCAATACGGGCGTGGGTAACCAACCGCGCCATCGATTACGGTGCTTGGGGAATAAGCGAGTTTTACCAGGCTAGTGGGGGCGCATGGTTTCGGCCGCCCTTATAAAGGGATAAGGTTTAACCTTCTTCTACCCACGCCTTCTTCCTCCTTGCCCATCCGTTCTTGCGCACTCGAGCTCCAACGCCCAAGTCCACATCCTTCCCCTCAACCTTCTCCAAACATGTTCGGAGCGGGGGGCAAATGGTTGGCTTCCTCCGTTACGGAGGGGCACATCAAAAAGTTGCGCGGCGCCGGATACCTGCCCGCGAATATCGCGCATCGGCTGCCTGCTGCGGGGCAGATCGTCCCTACCCCGGAACCTCATGAAAGGGTAGTTTTCCTTCACCACTTCCTAAGCAGACTGGGGTTTCCCCTTCATCCATTCGTCCGTGGTCTCATGTTCTACTACGGGCTGGACTTTCATGATCTGGCCCCGAACTTCATCCTCAACATTTCGGCGTTCATCGTTGTCTGTGAGGCTTTCCTTCGCGTCCGGCCCCACTTCGGCCTGTGGCTGAAGAGCTTTAACATCAAGCCGAAGGTGGTGGGAGGCAAGCAAGCAGAATGCGGCGGAGCCATGGTGGGAAAGATGCCCAATGTCACATGGCTTGAGGGCTCCTTCGTGGAGACCATAAAGGGGTGGCAGTCGGCCTGGTTCTACATCACCGAGCCACGCGACACCAAAATGCCGGCGGCCCCCGAGTTTCGATCCGGATTCCCTACACGGCTCACTTCCTGGAAAGAGAAGGGCTTGTCGTGGGGTTCGTCGATGGAGCTGGACGGACTCCAGAAATATATCCGGAGTATGGCAAGGAAGAAGCTCAAGCTTGTCAACATAGTCCAGGTCATGCTCATCCGCCGGATCCCCCCGTGTCAACAACGGGATTTGAACTTGTGGGAGTTCGACCCGGCTCAGCACCAGACTCTGAGCGAGCTCTTCGATACGACGCACAAGGACATCTGGAGGGTGATGTTCAAGGGCGCCGAGGTCCCTCCCTCTCTCGCCGAGGACCGCGGGCTAAGCGCAAAGCGCCTAGCGCGTTTGGTGAGTTCTATACATCAGTAGGATATTTACTTCCCATTACTTAACCATGTGCAAGGTTTGAGCTCCCATGCCTTTGACAGGACTGGGTGGAAACATCGGGGCAGATTAACTGTCCGGCCTCTCTGCCCGAAGACACTGCGGATGCTCTCCTGACGGAGATGCTGACTCCGGCACCTTACACGGTGCCGGAGAAGACCAAGAAGGCCAAGGGAACCCGAAAGAGTTCCCGGCGCCAGGTGATATCGGACTCATCGTCGGATGACTCCTCGGCGCACTCCTCCCACAAAGACGAGGAGGAAGATGAAGACGCTCCCCCTCCAGCCGGGGGAGACAAGAAAAGGAAGGCCGCCCCAACTGGGGGGGCCGAAGGGTCCAAGAAGGGAAGGACTCTCCTTCCGAACAGTTCCACCACCGCCGCCGAAGGCGAAGACGAGTGGCTGCCCAGGGCCAAGCCCCTAGCGAAGTCGTAAGTACTCGGATACCAGAGTAACTCATAGCATTCCTTTGCCGCACTGCTTCCCCTAACACCGAATTGTGATTATGCAG